TATATATCAAGTGTTCAAGAGCGCCAATAAATATGTCGTTGTCCTTAAGAAGATATAATTATTGGCAGACTGATATTAGATCAAGAAAACCTTTTTATTATCCTACCGGTATTCCGATCCATCGGAGGAGGAGCCAGTGATCGCGTTCTTTTTACCGTTAGTGCATTTGCAGCAATCACTTCCCATGATGAAATAATAAAGAAGGCACACCTTTTTGCTTTATATCAGAATACACCACCGATGAGGTAATTGCCATAAATTTCCCGCATTCTCGTACAAACAAACATTTCAGCTCAACGCGAGATCCATCTTTAAACATTTTTTTAATGCCATTTCTACTTTTCACATCTAAAAGTGTTGTCGGCAGTATCAACAATCATGTGGGACAACACGATATATACTTCAATTTCTGAAATATTGATTCTCTGCGCGTAATCTTCGTTCATGACACTGCGAGCACCGCGTGAGCGACAAAATTAGCCAGATACACATCGATCGATCGGCAATTCTGACAGCGCGATGGCGCTCTCGAACTTATCTCATTGAGGCATCGGTATATGTCTCATATCGAATATAACAATGTATCGATTTATTTTCAAGATTTTTATCGTCAAATTTTTTTTCTACGACAGTCGCTCTTTAATGTCTAATTTTTAGTCTTTTCTCATTATGTCATCATTATCTTTACTTTGAAACTTACAGCAGTAGACATACCCTAAAGGTCCAAACTTCATCCAAAGAATCTTTTATATCAAAGCGATTCTGCTTATATTTCGAATTAATGATTTAGCTCAATTATTGATCTTTTCGCGTTAGATCTTTCGTTCGAAGATAGTACACAAAGAGCTGATCGTGAACCGAAATTAAGCTCCGAAGAGCGCAGAATCAATCGAAACCACCTTTTTAAGGTCGACGGATAAGAGGCGCGTACCGATGCACTCAAATCGAATAGTTTAACACCCTTTCTTAGGGGTTCGTCGGTCGTCGCGACGCTCTCTCAGCGTCAGACTGATAGCAAGACGCCAACGTCAGGCTGTCCCCTCCCAATTTTCCACCTCCATCAACGGACGTTCGTGTACAGTTTCGTAGAACTGTAAGCAACGGGCTATCTCATATAGAAGCTAGCAAGAGCCAACCGAGCAATAGGTAGACCAGGCAGGAGCATGGACGTGTCTTTCATCTTTTCGCAAAATTTTGAACGCGGTCGAAATTAGCTTATGTAAAGCAACGTCTATCTTGCGAAGTGGCGTTCAAATATTCCAAGCAAAGAAGTTTGACAATTGTATACGTGGTTTTGTGCTATCACTGGTTCAAGTGGACCATAATTCGGCAGGTATCTTAATGCGTTATCGAAGCATCGCATAGATGCAGAAGTGTTCGCTGAAGCGAACTTTATATTTCCACGGATGATAATCTTTTTGTCATTGAATTTGTTACTTGATTTTTTTAACATTCAACCGCTGAACGTCTATATTATCGAAATAAACCTCACAATGATAATCGATATTATCTATTAGTTTTATCCAAGATATGCAATTAGATGAAATCATGCGTTGCGTTCTCGAAATAGTTTCAATGTTGAGCGTGTTGCTCTTTTAGATCAAGGATCATTTATCGCCTTTACTCTTTCGGGTAAGCTGTTACTTTTGTTATGAAATTGAACGTCGAAGACGTTACACTTGTTGTTCATGTTCCTGGCATCTTGGTGGAACGGCGATCCATGCAAAAATATTAAATGAGATAACATGCTGCGGCAAATGTAATTCAGTTCCCTGAAAATTAAGTGCGCGACAGCTCAAAATAACTCGCGTTTGATCCTTGGCACGTCCCAAGGTCCTACATAAAATTAAGGCCAATGTATGAGAATGAATGATAACGTAAAAACAAATTAAAATATTACTGTATGAAAGAGATGAGCGTACACGCCAAGCTTTATTCAGTAAGATGCCGTTTGTTATACTTACAGTTCGAATCGTAAGTCGTCATAATTTTCGGATAAAGCTAATTTCAATTCAACAATGATGTCCTCGCCTTCACTTCCTTGAACCGATATGATCTGATCTTCTTCGATCCATTCCGGTGGTCCTTTATTCCTCGACATATAATCTGCAAACATTTATATCACTTGCTATAAATTAATTGGAAAAATTAATTAATTTTAACATGTCAAAAATTTTGTCTCGCTCTTCCTATGTTTCTTCTAATAATTTCCTATTTAATTCGTAAATTCTGATTCTCCGTTGTGCGATCAATGTATTTAATTTTCGTATCTCAATCTGAAATCGATGTACAATTTAATGTCTTAATGTAGCGAATAAGTTTCTATGTAAAAAATAAATTTTTCCATCAACAACCGCGACTCAGTAAGCCAGTATTATATTAATTCAATAGATTATCAAACGAGTCTTTCTCTTGTATATATTCAAAAATTTTGCTTATTGAAAAAAATATTCTTTATCGATATGCAATGGCGGAAGGAAATTTACTGTTGAAAAGCTACCTGCTATTTCGAGACTCACGTGTTCTGCAAAATGGCTACAGGAATGGCGGTAGTACGTACATGCAAAATAGTAGCATAAATATAGATGACTATAATGGAAAGTGGGTAAAGTGAAGCCGCTTAAGAAAATAAAACGTAGCCGATCCATAAATCTTTACGATCGTATCTTTCTTCGAAAAATCGTTTTTTACAAATTTTGCGACGCAAAGTACGCTCGGAATTTCGATCAGATGCACCCACGCACGCCCAGATTGCACCATTAACGTAAATAAATATTTTTACGTTTGCCTAACAAAAATTTTGGCAAACAGTATCATTGATATTTATATTGAATTTCTATCTTTGAAGAGATTAATTATGATCTTATTAAGCATATTTTAAGCATCCGCAATGTTATGCGTTATGTGAGTCGTAAAATATCGTGAAATACATTTTGCGAAATAATAAAATAAAACAGAATTTGCTGTATCAAAAGTTGACAGCAATATCTATCAACGATAAAACTTAACAACTTGTCATATAAATTTAATCACTTTTACTGAGTATTCTACATTATAATTCTGCATATTTTTTTATCATTTTACGTTAACTTTTTTCGTTATTAAATTTTTAGACTGAGTCGCCATTTATTATCTATATTCTACAATAACTTACACCTACACACTGACAGGATGTTTTCGACCGCACAAGTGCGGTTGACAATCTTTTTTTCACTAGCAAAAACGCGCCGAAACGTAAAATGTGCATATAGAATATAAAAATCCCGCACCCTTTTACATGCTGTTGATTAACCGGCTGCACTGATCGAGATACCGCTTTGGTTCGTGCCGGTTACACCGGCGAACACACTACAACTCAATCCTGCAGCTTACCTGTTAAGGTCATCTTGTCAGATGTTACGCAGAACGATCTTTCCGTACATTGACATTACTCGCGGATGGTCGACGTGCGTACGCGTATGTTACTCGGGAAGACCTGCACCGTCTTCCGCCACCACCACCGTCAACTTGTTCCTGTCTTGACCCTATATTGATACAGCACACCCTACGCTACGACGTCTGACGGCAGGAGGCCCTGCTCCGTTCTAAAATCGTCCCGACGCCGCGCTCTCGGCTTCGTCGTTTTAACGAAAGAAGCACATGCGCCGTTCGAGATCTACGTACCCACTTTTCCACGTTGTCTCTCGTTCGCTGATGTAACTTGCCAGTGGTGCTCTTATTTTCATGATTCTTTTTTCTTCTTTTTTTGACGCGCAAAACTGAAATTTGTTTTGTGTTCTGTTTTTTCCCCCGAATCATGATTAGATGGTTACGTAAATGTGCAAGAGTTTCAAGATTTGTAAAAATAACATTACTTGTATTACGAAATATTAACGTAGAAAATATTTGCAGAAATCACTTGCGTATTTAAATAAGTGGAATGCAAAAGATAGACTATTTTGGAGTAATGTAATTGCATATGTAATACGGTGATGTGCGAAGTAATGGAATAATGTACGCATTCAAGTTAGATGAAAATATGTACATGATTTATTGCACTGAGAGAAATACTTTTGTAAGAATTACAAATTTTCATTTGTTGACTTATGATTTGTTCAGGATACGATAAATTCGCTACCATTACAAACAATGATCCGTTTTTTTGTCATTTTAACATATCACATATCGTCTGTGCAACAAATTTCATTTGCTCATCCCTCTTTGTTCTGATTACAAAATTGTTTGACATAGGTACTGACACAGTTAGTAAATTCAACAAATATGTCGATAATAGTTCTTATTGTTAATGCTTTTTGCACCACCAACAAATTAAAATATTCGAATTTGTTGCTGCAGCAAATGAAATGCGCGGACGAAAGTGCGCAGCGATAGCACATGTTTCGGCTTGTCGTAACGGCAAACTTCTAATGTGCGCTCGTTTTCCTTTCGTTTCCACAACTGTGATCAGTAAAATGAGTGGTGAAGAGAAACAAGCCGAACAAGATGCTGTTTCCGAGCGGCTGAGACGTTGGGGTTTGAGTAATCAAGTTGTGCAAGCATTTAAAGGTAAGTCATAATGTTTTCATTTCATGTTATTAGTAACCTTACTTTTTCATTTCTTTGTCTCACTGTTTGTTGCATCATTCTCTAGTTGAATTCTGTACGATCCGAAGAATTACTTAATCCTATTTTCATGTTTTTGACACATAACCTATTTTACTTTAACAAAATAATTACCTCTATTATGATGTAAAAGATTTCACAAAATATGCTAGTCTATTACATTTTTTATTTTATTGATGTATGATGCATTTGTTTGTACACAGAAAAAAAATTAGTATCAAACTAAAATTTATATACTTCAATTAATGCGATCATCATCTCATATAGTATTTGATATTAATTATAATGTGATTATATATGAGAATAAGATTTTTAATCAATTATCTTAGTTAAACATTCACACACAAATCGAGTAATTATAAATATTGTTTAATACTTAATTGCATTATTTACATTAATCATTTATATTATAAAATTTTGAGTATTTAATTATAAATTTTTAGGCAATTATTTTAATTTTAATAAGAAAATTAATCGATTAAATTTCTTATTAAAATAATTGCCTAAAAAGCTATAATATAAATAATCATGATAAATGTAATCAATTAATGCAATTAAGTACATATATGTTTTATATAAGGTATTTAGTTATTTAGTGCTGTTATTTAGTACGGTATTTAATTAATTGATTAAATTTTTAATGTTTAATTAAGATAATTAAAAATCTAAATCTTACATATGATCACGTTATGATAAATGCCCAACACTGGTTTCATGTAAAAACAATAATATATAATTTTCTTAGAAGAATTTGATCGATAATCTTAATTAAATGTCAACAATAATATAATTTTATTTTAATATTATAATAGTTTATCTCAAGAATATAATATATATTATTGTCTTAATTTTATTATAATAATTTTTTAGTTTGAACATATACTTCTAACATGTTTTTTCTTTTGAAGAAAATTATTCTTGAATAAATAATATATTTTTCATGGCAGAATTATATAATATTAAACAAACAGGTAATTTTTATTTATTTAATGCTATATAATCCCTTTTCAAGATTTATATGTTCAGAATAAAGATATTCAAAACAAGAAGTCTTTTTTTCTGTGTAGAAATAAAATAGTCAATATTAAATATGTCTTTTAGTTTGTGTGCCACATACATATTTTAAGAGAAGATTGCTCTGCTTATAGATCAAAAAATTACTCAGCAAGTATTTCCTTATATAGATCAAGATACAATACGTGAATTAATTCCACTGGCTGGGGAAAGGCTATTATTTAATATTAAATTTAAAGCTGAAATCCAAAACGTTCAGATCCAAAACGCTGAGATTTTACAAATTCATGATCCCATTGACATATTAAGAGATACTGAGGCAATAAAATAAAAAAATTATTAAATAAGTAAAAAAAATATGATAGTTAAGATATTTATTTTCTTTTTTTCTTTACTTTCACATTACAGGAGATCCAGCTTTCTGAACAGGTCATAATCAATACTGAGGTTGAAGTAAATGTACAAGAGGATCTTACAGAGGATCTTATTAATGAGGATCTTACAGAAGAGTTACAAACCAGAATTACAGCTGTTACTGGTAAAGGATCAATATTGTTTCACTATAACACTATTTTTTGTGCAGAGTTATATTATTTTTAGTTATGCCATTTTCTTTATAAATGCAGATGGTGCAGTAACATTGAATAATAATACACGCAATAATAGAAATAATATTGAACCTTCTTCAACTCAGCTAAAAGAGAGAGAGAGAAGATTTCAAACTCCTTATCAATCAAAAAATGACGTTGAAAATGAAGAAAACTCTGAATATGTGAGTTATAAAATCAATTCCTCTTATTGAAAAATATTATTAAAAAATATAAAAGTAAAAGTACTGAAGGCATTGACATCTTTTATGTAATTTTAAAATTTAAGATAATTTTAAATTTAAAAGTTAATTTTTTATTAGAAGTAAAATATAATTGCTACTTAATTTTGCAGGACTTGAGATCAATATTAAAAAGTAGTGATAAAGGACGAATTGTACTTCAGGCTTATGAAACAGAAAAAAAATTAAACAACAAATATCGAAATTATCTAGCTGAGGCTATTATTAATTCAGAACTGAAAAATGACCTGGACAAGCGGTAAGTTGTATAGTATTTAATTAATAAATATGCATGATAGTTGTATCATTACTTTAATTAAATGTGTCACTCAAGAAAATTACTACAAGAGGATTAAGTTGATTGCATTTTAAACTGTCTATTAGACTTTTAGATATTCTTCTTTGAAAATTTCTTGATAGATAGTGATATTATGTGCCAAACATATATATCATTAAGCTAGTACATATATGTATATATATCATTAGACTCCTACGGTCAAACTTTGTATTTTCTTGTTATTTATACATGCATCATGGAATATTAATTTTTTTTACTGTATGCTTTATTGGTTAGAAATTTTTGGTTCATGTTTTCTTTTAAAGAAATATCTGTAATTTTTTTCTTAAATTATGGACTACATCATATGTTTTCTTACCTTTAACTTTATTTTTTCTTATTATTTTTTCTCAACCCCAAACCTTTTTATATCGTTATTCTGCTTTTTATGAATTTTGTTTTAAAAAGTAATTAACACCTATACTTTATAATTATACTGAAATGCTTTTTATTGAATGCTCTATATTGCATAAACATTGCTTTCAGCTTGTCATGTGATCGGCTTGATATGATTTCACAAAAAATTTTACAGATTTTTCCTACTGAAACAAAGGTAATTTTATTTCTTATACAGTTATAAAAAACTTCTTTTTTAATTTAAGGATTTTTATTGAAATTCTGTTATGTAGCCTTTTAAATAGTTTTATATTGAATTGATATATATATATCTAGGCTTTATATTTACTTCTCTCTAGCTGTCTTTTTTCTATAGGAAATATACATTGATATAGATCCTAGTAGTGGTATTTGCAACACTGGAAAGGGTAAACTATACAGTAAGTGGTATAATAAACGCCGGCAACTTATCCGTTTGAATTTGATTTCATCAGGAGGAAGAAAAGAGCATCGAAAGGGTAAAAAACGTGAAAGAGAAAATGATGGTTTGGTCTTATTTTGTTTTGTTTTTTTAGTGAATATATTTTATTTAAAACGGTCGAATAAAAAAAATCTATTTCTTTTTAGAAATTGATGAATCCATTGAGGTTCATGATGCTTTACTGTGGCTAAGGAACAGTTCTCAACCTTGGCCAAAAGTACTAGAATATTGGCAGCTGACTTCAAGTCAGCGGTGGATCGAATTAGTGAGAGGAAACCTATCTATAGGAGAATATATGGCCCAGTATCCAGCTCTGGATAACGAAAAAGGGTACACACTGGTAAGCAAACACAGCATCAGATTTATTAACATGTGTTAACATTCTGTTAACACTTTTAATATGCAAGTACCTAAGACATAAGTATAAAAGTAATAACAATTTTTGTTTTTCTGGAGATTTTGTTTCAATTCCAATACGAAATGAATTTAGGAATTTGGTATTAGATATTTGATATTAAAATCATTATTATCTTGATTATCATTATCTTTTTTGTAGATTTTTTCTATATTTACATTTTTTTGTGTAGCTTGAGCTTGATTTTGAGAGGAAATATACTGACAAATTTATGAAATTGTTTGTGAACTGGCGGAAACTATCAGATTTTTTATTTGGAAAAATATCTGCAAAATTAAAAGATTTTTGCAATGATGAAGTTTCTGATGGTAAAAAAATTGTCAGAAATTTAAGTTTTAAAAAAAAAATAGTTCCTTTTCGAAG